ACATAATGCAGTTTACTTGGCATCTAAAAATACATTTCCTCAAAGGTGTGTTTAATCTGAAAAGAGCTTCACTGAGTGAGAATTAGTGGAGCTCAGCAGACAGTTAGGTTTCACTTTCACTTTCACCCGAGAACCTGCAGGAGTCATGGGCAGGGTGTGTGGGGTGGGGGTGGGGGCGCTCTGTCATGAGGAAGCTTGGCTTAAAGACACGTCCCAGGGCCGTTTCTGGTACCAAAAGGCATTTCTGGTCCCCACCTGTCGTTTTGCTCCTCAGCATGGCTTCCTAAAAACGCTGCAGGATTTCTCAAACATGCATGAACGAGTCAAAGCAAGGCTTTGGGCATGTTTTTTATGAGAGTACAACATTATAACATGAAATAAAACTCAAAAAAGTTGATTTTACATATTGCCCCTTTAAGAACTGTTTGTTTCCTAAGAGTTTGTTTCAAATAATATAATTTTGTGTCTCTTTTTAGTCTTATTTATTTATGTTATGATCTTACCCATTTTGGACTAGTCTTATCCCCTGGTATGTTATCGGTTATTATCAGTTATCGGCCGTTAGAAGGAAAAAGTTATCGGTTATTGGTATCGGTTCTTAAAATTAGTTATCGTGCATCCCTACTTTTTATTAATTAATTTTTTGTCCTGGTGCTGTTTATAAGTGCTTGTGTAACCATGGGCGGCCATTATGTTCAAAACGTCTGCTCAGCTTCATCTCCTTCACCTCTCTCAAGGAAGTGTTTACAAGTTCTACCTTTCCCAAGATCACCAAAAAGGTTATAGACTATGGTTTTATCATTTCTTTCGCCATATCACTGTATCGCGTGCTCCTATTCCAAAACAAGAGTCTCTCTTTAGGAGGAAGTTTGCACAAGTAACATCTTTCTTCTGTAATCAATACAAGAGCTAATCCACGGGCAGCATTCTGCTGACGTCAAAATCGTAAGCATGCTGTACTTGCTTCTACCTGCTTAGAACCACAGGAGAGGAGGGACTAAAACTGTGGCTGATCAAAACAAATAAAAAAATTAATAAAAAATTTTTTTGGTCACATGTGGCTCCGCAGCTGCAGATTGCAGACAGACAGCTGTCCTATGGAAAAACTTCATCCAACGGTAAATTTTCATCCTCCTGGATCAATTTCCTCTTCCATTATTGAGACTGAACACGCACAAAATCATCATTTCAATAAGTGGACAGCATCTCTTTTGCATCCGTTACTATTTATGCACGTAAACTTAGTAGATCATCCAAACCATGCCCACTAATAACATTTGCAAGTTTTTAGTTTAAGCAGTAATTTAGCACTCATTTTTGATCTTGATAAATGCATTCCTCTGTGATGTACTACACAGTAGTGTTTTTTGAAATGACAGTGTTTGAGTTTTTTGTAGAAAACAACATTTGGTAATTTTTTTGTAATATACTGGGAATCATGAAAGAGCTTTATAGCTCTTAAATCGTAAAAAAGCCTAAAGGAAAGTTTAAATGCTCCAGCATGCCTATGGATCTAAACATATCTATAAATTAATTTCTCTAGTCTGTAGTAACTTTTTCAAAGTATCCTGTTTTGGGGGTTTAAACAGGACAAGAATAAACCAGTCAACATTTTTCAGCTTTTGTCTGGTGATCTGTATTTGCCCTCTGGGTTGAAACATGGCGGCGATTTTTATTTAATTAGTTCATGGTTTGGTGCAAATAAATCATGCTCAGCATGCCAAAAACAATCTGCTAGGTGACTGAACAAAACACAGACACACACACACACACACACAATTCACAATGCAACATAAAAACAAGCAGTGCCAAGTGTCAATTTTAAAACGATGCAGAGTAAATTTCTTGCAACATGCAGCAAGCTACTGAAGACGAAGCCACAATGAAGCGTGAACTAAAGACGTGATGAAGATGAGCAAGCACAAAAAAACTTGCCTGTTGGGAACTGCATCAAAGGACAAGGCTGAGCTTTAAAAGAAGAAGGTTCATCTGTGAAAGAAACCAGAAAAAGCAAGCTGTTAGAGGTAAGTAAGATTAAAGATTAGAGAGGAAAACAGAGGCAACATGAATCATTTTCACTGCAGGACAGGTTAAAGACAATCTTTAAAAAACATCTTGAACTTCCAGCAGTTTAAAAAACAAATCAATCAGAAAGGCATCAGATGTTGCAGTAAGACTGCATCATTCTGTAGGTCCTGTCTGTTGTTAGCATAGACATAGCATCTCTCTCTGGGATATTTTATTACGTTTATAGATTGTTTTTGAGTAAATCTTTAGATTAAAATGTTACCCTGTGTTTAAATGATACAGTAGTTTTACATTTCTTTGTTCAGGGTGGATTAAGTGTTTTACTTTTTTTCTTCTTTTTCCAACTAGCAACCTAACAGATTCCTGTTTTGTTATAGTTTATAAATACTGTATGTCCAAGTTTAATAATGTGTGAGAAATCCACAATTTTCTGTTTATTCTGTCAGTGTTAATACAGCTGGCACAATAAATTTTATAACATATAATACTGTTTTACTTTTTTGTTTAGCATGTAAAAATTTAGCCCTTCATGTCATAGAAAGTCACTTGAATAAAGAGAAATGTCAGGTTTTAGGAAAATGGCTGCTTATCAATTAATTATTAGTTGATCGATAAGATCAATCAACTTTAGAATAATCCATTAATCGATAACTTGCATCCCTAATCATGATGTCTCAAAAGAAACTTTTAGGAGATATTCCTATCATGTGCAGTGTGTTAAAGGCAACCTATTATGGGGGTCCTAGCACAAGTTAGGATCCATCTGTGGGCTATACAAAACATGTTCATTTGATTTAATTCACAAAAAGAATCTCAAATAATGAAATTTGTTTCACCTTTTCAGTTCTGCCTGTTCTTCAGCTCTCTGAAAACGGCTGGGTGCATTTATTTTATTTTATTTTATTTATTTATTTATTTACTTTTGGTGTTTGGAGTGCTTCTCTAAGCGGCAGAGAACCAAACGTAAGTTTAAAGTGTATCTTACCCCCGTGTGAAAAGGTAACTCGGCCCCAAGGCGAAATTTGAAAAATGCGTCAAAGTGGGTAGGGGAGGGGGTGTGGGTAGGGGAAGGGGGTTAGAGAGCGGAGGTGTGGCCAGGACGAGAGAACGTGACAGGCAGCTAGCATTAGCATAATTGATGCTACATGGAAAGTGACCATAGTATCGCAGA